ATTTATTTTTAAAGTGTTGTTAACATAGTTTTTGCCGTCTCTTTCTGTCTGGCCCTGCTTAATTGATGTAAAAAATAGCTGTCTAAAATGTTCTTCCTTGAGAAAAGTTGCTAATTTTTCCCCAGAGATCTTCTCCTTGTGTCTGTCTTCAGTCAATTCTACTCAATTTTGTAAGAAAAATCTAGCACTGCTTCTTCAGCGTATGTTTACTTTCTCTTGTAACCATTGCAAACTAACGTACCCTGGGAAAAAGAGTTGGATTCTTCTCGTTTGCAAATACCATTAGCAGAATTGTGGACCAAATTCCATATGCAGCTCCAAATGACACACTCAATTAGGGCCTGATCCAATACTTATTAAAGTCACTGGAAAAATTCCCCCTGATTTTAATGGACTGTAGCTCAGACCTTAGGGAATGGACATTTCCACTGCGGATGATCAGTTTAATCTTTGAGCACACTGGAATTTACACAATGATAGACTCACAGGGCTGGAAAGGACTTCAGAGGTCACATCTCAAGGCAGGATCAGCTAAATTTATATCTCCCAACAGACGTCTAACCTGTTCTTAAAGGTCAGTGACTGGGACTCCATGGACTGCGCTTCCAGGCAATCTTTTTCGTTAATTATCCTTACTCTTAAAAAGTTCTTCATATCTGCTCTAAATCAGTTCTTGCTCCGATCTACGCCCATTACTTCCTGTCCTATTCAAATTAAGTGAGAGCAGGCTGTTTTCTTTCTCTTCGCAATATTTTTTGATGTATTTGAAGACTATTACTGAACATGTGAATCTCTCTTGTCTTCCTTAGGCTAAACAACCGCAGTTTTTCAATCTGTTCTCATGTTTCAATCTGTCTGTTTTCTGGACCTTAGTCATTAACAATCCTCTCTTTTGGACCCCCTTCAATTATCGCACATCTTTCCTGAAGGATAGTGCCCAAAACTGGACACAGCACTTCAGCGCACGTCTTATCAGCGCTTAGTAGAGGGAAAGCACTTCATGTGTCGTGCACAGTCTCAGGACAATGCTTGTCTTTCACACACTGATATGACATTATTTGCTCCTATTTACCTTGTGACCCATTAGAACTGAACCTAGGCATAATGTGAAAATATAATTTGAGGGCTTCCTGGGACCGCTCAGGAGATGCTGAGGGCAGAATTAGCATTGCACAGCTGCTATGTGTATTAACAGAGCAAACGAAAGGGGAAATTTGAATCCCAGTTGCCAGGTGAGTTCTCCAAACTGAGACTGTGAAAGACCATGATGTTGTTTGCAAGAATATCAGACTGGAAAAGAGATGCAATGACCACAGGGCACCATCATGCTGTTTCTGCAGAACTACCTCTCAGGTTAAGACTGTTATTTAAGACAGTTTTCCTCTTCTGGAAGTGAGTTTCAACTACGTACTTATGTTTGTATACTTAGCTATGCATGCTTGATTTTTGGCTCCTTTTTAGCAAAGCATTTGTGCATTTTTGGAAATGCAATGCCAGCAAACAACAACCAACACACACATGTTCCGTATTTTGTGTATTGAATTGTCTCATCGCATCCCTCATGAATGTAAGAATATGAACTGTAAGAACCAGTTCTTGAAAACAGTATTCGAAAATCCATTTCCTTAATAACTTTGTCCTTTATCAAAGGACTAATGGCTTTTAGCACATTTGGAATTGGCTCAGGAATCATTCGGTTCTTTAAATGCTACTTTAAACCACAAAGACAAGACACAATTTTTGTCTTGCTCCTACGTAAGCTAATGGTGTAGGGCATTTTTGTGTTCAGCACAACAGAATCAGGTCTAAAATATAAAAAGTACATAAAATTTTACATTATAGCTATTTATCAGAATGCCATTATGTGTTATTAGCTTCTCTCTACTTGGATATTCAACAGCATTATATGTTTTTATAATAATGTCACTAGGTAAAGAAATACATTGTAGTTGAACAAACTTGAAGATATTCAACTAAAATCTACTTTTCCAGCCTGTGGCAACATTTGAATAATGCCATAAATCTTCAACAATAAGTGTGGACTGCAATTTTACCTTGATTTACAAAATAAGTGGGCCTAAAATTATATATGGAACTCATAAGCAGTCAGGTAAATGATGACTAGAGCCTGCTGTATGAATAGTTTTGTATTTCAGAAGATAAACTGCAGCACCAAAAGGCCAGGAATTTCCTTAAAGAGAAATTAAAACATACTCTTACCTTTATACCTTTGGGTTTTGCAATATTTACCGACTTAGCAGTGCAGGATGCATGAGATACTTCGCTAAGTGAGATCTAGAATTTGCCCATTAACACAAGTAATGTGGCTCTTGAATGCTTTTTCTGACAGTCTTAATAACACCAAGAAATTGCAAAGAAGGCCGTGATACTGCTTTATTGCAAGACATTTTCAAGTTCAGAATTGGTGAGACTGAATAAACTACCTGCGTAAGAAACAGTGGAAAACAGTATTATGAAAATGAATCTACTCTGCTACTTCTCAGGTATAGAGAGAGCTTACTTAACATTTAATAGCAAACAGTTTTGAAAAATGTCAAGCCATCTCCAAACTGAGACATTATAACGATACTGAATTGACAGTGTGAAAAACATTAAGATCTACAAACACATAGGACAAATGTTGACCTCAGATTAAGCAACTGTTATCCTTTTGCAAGCAGTGGTGAATATACTGAAGACATTTCTGGAATGACATCATGATCTCACCGAAAGCAGTGAGAGGATTTCTACTGACTGCAAGAGATGGAAGATTTCATTCCTGAACTGTGCTACGAGGTGTTAAAATGAAATGAATCTAATGTTGGAGAAGGTTGCCAGATATTGCTGATCAACAGCACAGGTGTTGTTTAATATAAAAAACGACATCAGTCTGGATGAAATAAAAGCATTAGATCAGAAATTATACTAAACACAACAAAACAGATGAATGCATTATTAAGGTTCTCAATGTGTTCAAACAGCAACAAAGACTACATTAAAAAAACATGTCCGTACATGATTACCATTAACCCACCCACTCAGTGTTTATGTACTAACTTTGCCATTACTGTAACACAAAACGAGCAGATTGGAGCTGGACAGGCAAGCACTGGGCCGGGCTGCCCCAGGGAGGCTGTGAAATCTGTCCTTGGAAGTTTTAATGACCCCACAGGACAAAGCCCTGAGTGACCTGGCCTGAATTCAGCTTTAACCCTGCTTTGAGTTGGAAATTGAGCTACGGCCTTTCTGGGGTCCCCTCCGGCCTCAGTGATGCTGTGATGCTCCCTCTGTGAGCGACAGCTACTTGAGGCCATGCCCTGTCTTCATTCACTGCCTCTTGATATGCTGGTGATAGGGATTAACCCAGTCCTCCCCCAACCCATGCACATCCCCTGATGTCAGGTGTATCTATCGCGCAACTGTGTCTAACAAGGTGTTTGCCCTGAAACCCATGCATGGGAAAACCTGTAAGACCTGTTGTCGTATTAACTAAGGATCTTAACTTCTGCTTTGCCTCAGATTTTCTTATGCAAGAGATGTATAAAAGAATTAGAAAACAGAGGTATTTCTGCCTTCTAAATCTGCATAGAGGAAGCTTCTTTTGAATTTGTACTCTTTACTGTTATTTTTTAACCCCACTAAAAGGCAAAAAGACAGAACCTTTTGTGGCATTTAGTATTTTGCAGCAGTTCCCCACCTCTTGATTCTTTGCAAGCCAAGACCCAGAAGTTCTTCTGGTACATAATCACCAGGTAATTCTGGAGCTGAACTATCGTTTCTGAGAAGTATACACTGTGGCTTAATCTTTGGTGGATTCATGAACAGAAACAGAGAGCGCGGAGGTAATAGACTAAGTGTGCATATAAACAGAAGAAGAAAAAAATATACTAGGACAGAAAAAACCCCTCTGCCTCCCAGTTTATCTTCCAGATCCCAAGGGTAAGAATGCATAAACAGAGTGGAACACTGGTTTTGCTAACAAAGCCCAGCAGACCACCAGAAAATAACTTTAAATATTGCACTGTAAATAAAGGATGTAATTTAAGATGCTGTTTTATGCGCATCATAAAATAAGTCTGTAGCAGGAAAACTGCAGCCAGAATAGCTGCAAACCTCTAGCAACATTCTCATATATATGCCACATAACTCCACCTATTGAAGCCAGTTCCAATCAGGTAAAAGTGCTCTGAAGTACTTTTCTACAGCACTTCTCACTTATTTCTTCTTCAGTCATTGATGGTATTAAAAGTCACATGGGTATTTGCTGTCGGCAAGAGAGGCACGCAGAAAAGTGCTGAAGTAGGCAGGTGTGACAGTGGCAGGCCTGGAGGAGAGGCAGGCAGACGAAATGGAGGGTGAGGGCTCTGCGGGAGCCAAGGCAGAGGCTGAACCTAAATTGCTCAGAGGGTGTCCCCTGCCGAATGGCCTCAAAACCCTTCCTTCGTGGTGGGGGCTGAGGTAGAGGTATTCACCAAAGAAATTACGTGATCCACAAGTCATACTATGATGAGCTGATTTTGAAGGTAAAGCATTTAAGTCATTTCAATGTATTTATTATCAGGACATATTTTTCAAATGGGTTATTATGTCCCTGTGCATGTTCTTAGCACACCTACACCAGATTGCAAGAGAGAAAGAATAAATGTGTTAATCCTTCTGGCTTCATTTCCATCACCTGTACTCCAACCTCGCATGAATACCAACTTACATATCTTACAGCCAGATTTTTCAGAAGCAGATTTAGGAAACAGGAATCATCAAGGTTCAGATGGATTTGGCTGTCTATCTGTTTTTTCTTGTTTAGTTGTCACCAGTGTATTCAAATATCCCAAGATGCACCATCCACTTTAAAGTATGGTATTAATGAAAAGGCCTACCATGAAAACACTGTGTCTGACAAAAAGCGCAAGTGAGAAGGATGGCAAATACCCTCTGTTCCTGCCTACTAATAAATAATGGCTCTTATTTCTCATTCAGGTGTTGCAAGCGCTCAATCTCTCTCAACATCGACTCCTTGTTAGTACTCCTAAGGCTTCACCTAACGACAACTTTCCTACTCGAGGAGAGTTTTTGGCCATTTTCCAGGGCCCGTTTGAGAGCCAGGCCCGTCCACCCCAGCGCCCCGGTGCTGCCTGGCAGGGTGGCAGATCTGCCTTCAGGCTGGGCCGCAGCCGTCCCGACGCCGGTACCTGATACCAGCCGGGAGCTGGCTCCAACGCCTAACAAGGAGCACTCCCCCAAAACCACTAAAGGAAAAGAAAGAGTTAAGGTGGGGAGGCCCTACTCACCTCAGTCTGAGGGAGATCACCAACATACGTGAGTAAAGGAAGAGAAACAGACATCCACCCAGGAGACAAACTCTATTTTACATATGCATATGAGATCAGATCAAAGGTTCATTTAACCCAGCACCCTGTCTCTGAAAGTGACCAGTGCCAGGTTCACTGCTTGCAGATTAAATCACTTGTTTTTGTGGGGGAATCCTATGAACTCTCGAGGTTTTAAAAGCTTAGAAGGTCAGGATGTCTCTCAGACTAACTGCAAAGTTCGCTTACTGATCCATCGCTTTGGACATGGTCAGCTGCTTCAATGGGATGGTCCAGACTCGGTCGCCCCACGTAGACATCCTGGCTGTGTGAGAAGGCAGATAAGAGACGCAGGAGAGTCCGAGGGTTCACATAGTTGTCATCGTCCACATGACAAAACCATCTTCAAACAAAATGAAGTAAGAAAGTTACTGCAGAGCAGTGACAAAGAAATGAGTTACAGGTTTACAGCTGGGTCTTAGTCTTTCGGGCCTGGAGCAGAAAGCATTCCCCATTGTCCTGAATTACAGAATTTGGAAGCTGAAAGCACCCACAGATCCTAATTTTGGAAAGAGGCTGAAATTAATAACCCCCTTTAGATTATCACCCTTTCCACCTTTTAGATGATGCTTGTTTATAAACACTGCTTCATGCTGTGCTCCCTTCCCTACGCGCATCACCACGTTTTAGCTAACACTGCATTCCGTACTGGAGCAGAGGAGGTTACTCAAGTTTCCTGTGAACACAGAACTGGAAGAAACAAAGTCAATCAGAACAACGTGTTTCACCTACTTTTGCCCAGATTCCAGGAATTTATCATATTCCACAGACATCTTGCAGCAGAGAGCTTGCCGGGTATGGACAGCAGAACAGTTGGTGTTGATCATATGATCCCCTAGAAAAATAAAGATCAGCCCTTTCAGGTTTGAGAAGCATGTGTAGCCCAAAAAGACTACAAAAGAAGTGTACATCTGGCACTAATACCGTACATCTGAAGCGCATATGGTGCACACATGGAGAGTAAACTGCAGGACAGGCAGGGCTCGTGGGTTGGGCATACGCACGCTCTACAGCATGCAAGCTGTAGGGCACGTAAAAACGTGTGAGTGCAGGGTAAATAAAGAGTGCCATGAGACTGTATGCAAAGGAAATACCTAACATCACTTTGGACCAGACTTAAGCTTACTAACAGGAAGGAAGTGGGTGCAAAGGTGAACCCAGTATTCAGGAAGTTCCAGGCATCTTGTCCAGGTGGTAAGTAGGAACAGCAAGTTCTCCTGTGAAAGGAGAAGTTTTCTCCATTTTCTCCATCTCAACTTCCCCAATTGCTTGTACAGCACGAAGTAAGGACTTCTAGGGAAAGTACGACAGAAACAAAACTCAGACAGCGTGCACCTACGCTACGCAGCTTACCTGCTTTCAGGCGTAGCTCCCGATCCTCCCAGTCTGTGAATATAAACGTCTGTGGGAGACAAAAATGGGTTGGGAGAAAGGCGTGTACACATTTGAGAATTTCAGAAACTAATTGCAACTTTGCTCGGTTGCAGTCAGAACTCTGAATGTTTTGTCTTGTTAAGTTTATTTCACGGTAGCCGCTGGGAGCGGGGGGGGGGGGGGGGGGGGGGGGGGGGAACTCCCTTCACGAGGCCACCCTCACGGCTGGCCTTTTCCCCCTCCCGCGCCCTGGAGGGCCGGCCGCGGGCGCTTGTCAGAGCCCAGCCCTGGCCCAGGCCGGTGTCCCCGCGGGGGCTGGTGGGGTTTTGCACCATCACTCCAGGGGCGTGCGAGCAGGCGATGTGCAGGCACTCGCACCCTCTCCCCCATGCAGCCCGTCCCGCTGGCCTGGCAAATGACTCCCCGCCCTTTCCCCCGAGTTGTCATGTTTCAGGCAGGTTCTTGGTACGTAAACAGGCAGCTCACTCCTTTCTTGGGAATGAAGGAAAGGAATGTGTGCCTTTCGGAAGTTTCTGTGTATCGGGTATTGCGTGCCGACCGCATGACTGTGACCGGCATGACATGCTTCTGTCAAAATAGGTCCCAGTTAGTGCTGTTGTCATGTGGGGGTTTTTTCTCTCCTAATAAATTAGATAGTTGTGAAAGGGAAGGCTCTTCCAGAGATGAGTGGTCCTTGAAAGGTAAGGGAATAAAGAAAAGCATGATAGAATAAGTAGTTTTCAGTAGTATCCTGTGATTATATTTTATACCCATAAGGGCCATTGAGAAAAATCTCAGAACGTTTTGGATTTAGAATCAGCAATATTAGATTTTTTTTTTTAAAGCTGTTAATGTTGTCTGAACTTACATTTTAAATTTTGTGACTAGTGTCAGCACGTGTACTTGCCTAATCCTAGAAATATTTCTATTTTATTTTCCATTTTTAGTAGACTCATTTTTCATTGTTTTAGAGGGACAGTGGAATTTATGATGTTGTAAAAATCTTTAAATGGACAACTAGAACGAATTAATGTTTATATTAGGGAAGAACGCCATGTTCCCCAAAATACCTTTGGCTGGCCTGGCTTTTAGAAATAAAGCTTAAGTCTGGTTTATCAAAGAGATGCTATACTGGTACAAACTATACTCGTTTTATTGATCCATCAAATCAATTAAAAACCAAAACCTGTCTGATCACACATATTAATTTCTTGATAGCTTACATTTTTAAATTTTTAAATTGCACATTCATAGAGTCAAAACCATAGCAAGAACTTATCTTTTTCACTTCTGTTTTGTGTTGTTAAAATGTTTGGCTGCACTCAGATTTCAATACACTGTATTCTTATTGCAAGAAAAGCTTGGAGGAAAATGCATGAATCTTTATTTATTTATTTTTAAACTAAAAAGCTACTGTGTCTAATTCGAAGCTTTCAAATGTTGAGCTGTCTTCAAGCTGGAAGTAAGCCGTATTTATGTGATATGAAACAAAGTGTTGATACAGGGAATATAGAATAAATACTAGATTAGAAATTCTGTCTGTATGAAGCCATTGTCAGTCAGTGATCGATATTGTGCTGTGTGTTTATGTACTTAGAGCATGAAATGTGTATTCTTCAGGCATAAACTTTGGTTTCAGGCTAATGCATATATTAGGAAAATTTCTGTAGAGCAGACTAAGCAAAAACAAAATCTGAAGCATAATGAGACTGCAGTCTTAGTACTCCATGGAAAGCACTCTCTATTACTATGTTATTACAGTAATATACTATAGAAAGAGCTATCTATTGAGAGAGCATCGAGTGCACTCTCAATAAATATTTTGTAACTGCTTATTATTCTGAGGTGTTTGAAAAGGTTTGTGGGCCATGAACTAATTCAGTTCTAAAGTACTGCCTTGAAGAACACAATATTGGCAGAAGGGAATTCCAAGTGTTATCTTTTAAAAAGTAATTGGTTAGTAAGAGAATGTATGACTCAGAATAAGTGTAACTTAGTGTAGGAAAATCATACAACTTTGTTTGAAGAAAAAAAAAAGCATATATTTTTTCAGTGCAGCTGGTTATTCAAAGTTATTTTATTGGGACAATTATCCATTATTATTATTGACCTAATACTGTTGATGTGTATGTAACAGAGATCCAGTTTAAGTCTCAACATCTGAACTGGACAAATAGTTTTGGTGGTTTTCTTGCCTCAGGAACTTATAATGGATTTGCTGACCTTTAGGGTTACAGTGAAATGTGTTAGTATACCCCTATGCAAACAATGATTTAAATTAAAAAGTACATAGGACTTATCTTAAGGAGTTGTTGACAAGGCTTTAGATTCATTATTGCCTGATGAAACTGTCTTTTTTTTTAATCTACTTTACTCAATCAGCAAAAATCAGGATAAATGTATTATAGACCTTAATTTTATTCCACACAATTCAGGCGGAGGTCTAAAGAACGCATCCCAAGGCTAACACGTTACATATTTCCCTTGGTGACCAAGACGTTAGAATCCTGTTTTTATAGTACTTTGCATTCGTAGAAATTTCAGTCATTAATAGCGTTTTGGGTCATGGTTAATTCCCTCTGCTTCTACGATAGCTAGGTTTCTTTGGATTCTGGAACCATCAGGAATACATAAGGAAAACCACAAAACAAATAAATACTTTTCAGAGTGTTGTGCAAATGTGACAAGAGGAAAAATTGTACTTAAAAGTGATGAAACTAAGAGGCAGTTGATAGACTATGTAATAATGCTTTCAGAGACTCAATATGGAGCACTGAATATTTGCCTTGTGGTTCTTGTATCCAGGTCTTCAGCCATATTACTCCTGTACAGCTTTCTTCTGTATTTTAGACTAATATATTTTGTTAGACTTCTCAAATCTGAAGTTGTTTGGGTTTGTTTAGGACTGGATAGGAAGAATTGAAACATGAGACACTTAAAAGCAACTAATTTGGAGGGTGGAACATCTTCTGCTTCTTATTGGGGTCTTTTTCATGTGACTCATGCATATAATTATTGTCTGTAGCTCTAGTTTAGTGAAGATTATGGTAATCTGGAATTGGTTCCTTGTGAGGAAATACATTTTTTTTTAACAGTTGTGTAGTTAAATAGCAGCACTTGAAGTTTTCAGTTCAAGGATTTCTAGCATTTTTATGGAAACTCAGTCTTCCTTAATTCAGAGAAGCCAGTTTTGCAATTGTAAGTACCGTGTACTTAAGTTGGTCTTGGATGATGGTCCTTTTTTAAAAACCTTCGCCAAATCTTTAAATCAGTCATAAGACATGCTTCTGCAACACCTAGTTGAAAATCAACACTAGTTGATTTGGTGAGCCTTGGAAAATTAGTAGGGAGTGTTCAGAATTTGAATTTCATGTGATTCAGGGGTGTCTGACTAGCAGTAGTCAGACATTACAAAAATGTCTGAATATTCTAAGTTGATATCCTTTATTGAAGTTCTTGCTTACAAGTGTGTGAAATCCATTTACGTTACCTTTGTAAACGTCTCAAAATAACGAGGCACACTTTTCCTTTTTTTTTTTGTTGTTACTACCTCGAGGCTAGAAATAAGTCAGCAAGTAAGCAGGCTAAAATCAACTTTTGAGCATGTCTGTGTGCAATAATTTTTCCCCTTGATGGTTTGAGTTACTGGGAGAGATCGGTATAACAGATGATGTTTAATTTCTGATTATTAATCTGATTCATAATCTGTGATTGTTGGAGTATAAAATCAGCTATCAGCTGGTATACATTCAAGTGACTCTTGCCAGGTGAGGTAGAGAGCACTTCGCTGAAGTATTACGGCTTGTTCTGAAATGCAGATTTTGATGATCTTTTAAATAATGCAAAAATATTGCAGTAGATTATTTTGTAATTGTTATACTGCTATTGGTAACATTGAAAGCCACAGGCTATGTGTTACTGCAAACCGAGAAGATGGAATTTAAAGGTAAAAATAGCTGAACATTAAATCCATCCCCTGCCCTCAAGGTCTGTTGCCAGAATCAGCCCAGGATATCTTTTAGCGTAGGCAGGGTCTGAAGTCCTCAGATGTGATCTTGCTGCCTTATTTGTGTGTGTCTTCATTATGTCAAATTTTACACCTGTTTTCACTTTATTCAAAGTACCAGCAAGTTTGTGATGTCCCAGCTTTCTAAGATAGGTTAAAAAAAAGGCGATTGGGATGTAAATTTTTTGGTATCTTCATTCAAGAACATTTTTGAAACTAAACAATGGAGTGCAGAGAGGAAAAACTGGTTGTAAGTGATTACTGACACAGTTGTGGCTTTCTGATACTTTGAAATGATTCCATTTAAGTTAATATTTTTGCTGGTTGAGTATTGTGTAATGACAAAGATTGAACATCCCATAGAATGACTCAGTATTCAACGAGTAGACTTTTACTTCTTTCTTTTTTTTTTTTTAAATCCAAGAAGGATTCCTGGAATTGTTTACTCTTCCTATATATATGTACTTCTATCTATTGTTTCCTGGCTCAAATGTAATATTTGTTAGTATTTTAATTTTTTTTTAATGATAGGTATTAATGAAAATTGAGATACAAAATGATTGGTGGGAATGTGTTGAGGAAGGGAAAGGAAGATAATTTTTTTTTTGTACCTGGGTGTTGCTTATGAGGTGATATTATATTAATACATACGTCTCTACCATGGTGTTAGACTGCATTTAAAACTGACTAATAAAAAGGAGTTGCATTGATCAGTGAAGTCAGGCGTATTATAGATGTTAGATTATATTTTGGCAGATCTAGTTTGCCATTTGTTTTAAGATTCAATAATGAAAGATTATCCTGTGATGATAGAGGTATACTGCAGTGAAGATTTGGAAGTTTTGTCCTTTACCTGCAATTTGTAGGACCCTGTTTTACTTAATATTGCATCTTCACTAAACAGAGGAACACTATCCAAACCTCACCGTCTTGTACTTCCAGTGTAGTCATTGGTATAAAAGCTTCACCTCTACATTGTTATTAGTATAAAGTGCCTACTCATTCTGCTTGTTGATAGCCTAACCAAGTGTTGTAGATCACTGTGATACA